GCTGCTGGGGCAACAGACACTTTCTGTGCTAGGGCTACAGGAACCCAGGGCAAAGTGAAGACAGGAAAAGAGAGCCAATGGGAAGATAAAAGTAGGAGCAGTAGCAGCTAGAGTTGCTGGAAACTATGTAGAGATGGGGAATCCCAAAAATTCTGCCCAAATGACCTAACCCTCTAACCCTTTCCAGGTCCCTATTAAAATCAGGTCTTCTGAACGTAGTAATTATAGTAGCAGCCATCTAGCTGCTTGCTTCTTAAATATGTACATGACTTAACTTCAGAAGGGTATATACAAGATGAAACTGGAATTTGGGTATGTTAGGTCTCTGGTAAATACTCAATAAATATCAGCCTTTGGATGCTTTTAACCAAGATATTAGTGAACTCAGTCTGGTTTGGTTTTCCTAGTCCTCTAACAAGCAAGTCCGCATCTGTCCATCTGTCCGTCTGTCTGTCTGTCTCTCTCTCTCTCTCTCTCTTTCTCTCTTTGACAATGATTATATGTTCTTCACAGTTCTTTACTTTTCACTTCCATAAGTAATCTGGGTCTATGACCCAGGCTAAATCTCCTAATCGATGAGAAAATGACCACCATGTGCTTTCTTTCTGTTACTTCTTCTGTATGACATTCAGGAGTCTTTCTACCATAAACCTCTCAATGAATGATTCCCTCACCGTGAGACACAACCCAACTTTTTTTTTGGGGGGGTACTGGGGATTGAACTCGGGTCTCCGTGCTTGCAAGGCAGGTGGTGGAACCACTGAGCTAGATCCCCAGCCCTTATAGATGTCTTTTAATATTTGTGAAAATAAATTACTAGAAATATATTGTTTAGCATTTTGAAACTACAGGAAAAATAATAGGTGAAATTAACAATATTCACCCTTCAATGGGAAAAAGCACTGCCCCATTTTGGCTCTTTAGCCCTTTCTAAATTTATTTGAGGGCATCCTGTATATACAGTTCTCTACTGTATTTTCCTCCACTTAGTGATTGATAACTCTTATTACATTTCTACTCTGTCATGATTCTTTATGAGCATGCCACCCCCTTTTTTTTGTGGTACTGAGTATTGAACTCAGGCCCTTGTGCTTGCAAGGCAGGCAGCAGTACTACTGAGCCAAATCCCAGGCCCAAAATTCTATGTCTTTTTTTTTTGTACCAGGAATCAAACTTGGAACATTGTGCTTGCCAGGCAGGTGCTGGAACTACTTAGCTAAATCCCCAGCCCAAGCATCCTTTTAATGTCTACATGACACCCTATCTTTCACTGGTACCATAATTTAACTGTTTCCCTGTTACTGGGCATTTTGGTTATTGACAATACTTTTCTAAATAAGGTTATACTAAACACCTTTGGACACTATCGTCTAAAATACTACTCATAGGGCCGGGGATTTAGCTCAGTGGCTCCACTGCCTGCTTCGTAAGCACAAGGTCCCAAGTTCAATCCCTGGTACCAAAAAAAATTAAAAATAAAGTAAAATACTACTTATAAATTCTTTTGGATAGATCCATGGTCATAGGGATAGAAACATTATTGATACTTTTTATGCATCTAACCAATGTACTATAATTTTCAGAAAGGTTATAACAATTATGTGCTTCTCATAACATTTACAATTACCTGCTCCACTGCACACTAACTGATACAGTGTAGAGGCATAGCAAAGCTCAACAACTAGGCCACACACTGAGAGGTCCGACAGGAGATTTTACTAGGGAAGGCAGGTCAGGGAGACAGGAGAGAGGGAAGAGAGAGAGAGAGAAGAGCGAAGAACAAAGAAAGGAAGGTCCTTTTATTGTTTTGGGGCTGGGCTATTGCTTATTTATGAGGAGTGGGCTACCTTTAACCTATCACAGACCAGGCTGCCCTTTATGGGTTTGGTACTGCAGTAACAGGTTTAACCTCTCCAGACCCGTGACCTTGGGGGAGGGAAACTAAAGATAGGAGCATGAGGTCTTTAAGAACCAAGAAGCACCAGGAAAATGCAGCCTGCGATGGCAGCATCAGGTCCCTAACATACAGAGAATCAGAACATTTATTTATTGTTGGGCGAGTGAGTTCAGGTTGGCCTATGTAGTCCAGGCTGGCCTCAAAATTATAGCAGTTCTCTTGCCTCAGCCCCCCAAGAGCAGAGGTTACAAATGTGCTCCACCATGCCTAGTAAGAACTAGAACTTTTAGAATATGAGAGCTGAAAAAATGGTACCTTGCTATTGTTTCAATAGTCATTTCTTTGAGTAATGGAAAAAGTGCACTTTTATATTCTATTCACCATTTAATTTTCTTTTCTATGCATAGTTCGTCAGCTTTCTTTCACTATCATGAAATGCTGGAGAAGAGAAAAGTTATAAAGAGAAAAGTTTTATTTTTGATCACAGTTTTGGAGATTTGTGCTCAATTAGCTCCTACTTAGGACTTTGGCAAGGTTGCACATCACAGCTGAGTGCACAGTGGAGCAAAACCACTTACATCACCAGTCAGGGAGCAAAAAGAGAACAAGGAAGGATCTTGAGTTTCCCAACCCTTTACAGGGAACACTCTAGTGACATAAGATCTCCTACCTCGATCTCCTACCTCTTAAAAGGTTTCACCATCTCCCAATTCTACCTTGAGGACCAAGCCTTTAACATAGGGACCTACAAGACAGTCAGGATGCACACTATTCCAGATCATTTGTTCATAATTTCTGGCCCACTTTTCTGCTGCAGAGGTTTGAATTAGTTTTCTATGGCTGCATAATAAATCTGCATAATCTAAGTAGCTTCAAATAACACCAATTTATCACCTTGCAGTCGTTAAGGCCAGAAATCTGGGTGGGCTTGGCTAGGTTCTCTGCTCAGGTCTCTCTCATGAGGCTAAAATCATGGTCTGGCTGGGCTCTTATCTAGAAACTTTGGTGAATAATCTTGTTCGAAGCTCATCTGGGTTGTGGACAGAATCCAGTTCCCATGGCTTCTGGCTGAGACTGCCATTTCTATGCTGGTTGTCCGCTGGGAGCAATGCTCTGTAATTCCTCAAATTCCAAAGGCTGTGTGAGTTCCTTCTCAGCCATACCCTTCCATCTTTAAAACAGCTAATCTGCTAAATCTTTTCAACCTTCAAATCTGATTTCCTTTCATGGGAAAGGCTCAATTAGACACCCCTAGATAATGTCCCATTTCATATTCAACTGAACTATGGTATAACAATCCAGCAAGTGCTGTCTTAATTTATTCACAGGTTCTTGGGATTAGGGCAAACAATCCTAGTGGAGGGGAATTTTTAGATTTGTGACCGCCACAGTCTTTAAGTATCATTTCTCATTATTTATGATAAATTTCAATAGTGTGAATGAATAAATGTATGACTGCTAGAAGCTGTATTTTCCCAATGGCAAAATCAACTGTAGACAAAATGCTGTGTATAAAGATTCTGAGTACATAACTTTGCTAACATTGTTTTAAATTTTTAACTGGGGTAAATTACACATAACGAAGTTTCCCGTCTTAATCATTTTTAACTGTACCATTCAGTAAGTACTTTCAATTGTAGTGCAACAAATCCCCAGAATTGTCTTCACCTGCAAAACTGAAACTAGGAGCCAGGGATTTAGCTCAGTGGTGCTGTGTCTGCTTCACAAGCACGAGGTCCTGAGTTCAAGCCCTGGTACCACAAACAAAACAAAATGAAACAAAACTGAAACTCTATACCCATTAAACAACTCTTCGTTCCTCCTTCCTCAGTAATCACCATTTTACCTTTCAACACTGGTATATTTTTATTTGATGTATTTATTTAAAAATACCTTATAGTCATTATAATATACTAGGCACTGTTCTAAACACTTTGAAATATTAACTTTAGAAATATTTAATCCTCATAAAAACCCTAAGGTCAGTATGGTTATTGTTCTGATTGTACAGATAGAGAAACATAGCAAAGATAAATGAACTGCCTAAATGACCAAGCAGGAATTTAGACTTGGAAGTCTGGCTTTGTAGTTCTTGCTACAAAACATGACATCATGAAAAAATTCATTGTAAAGACAAACTCATCAGGCATTAATATTATTTCTCAGTGCATGACTTTGAAAGACTTCTCTCATGCAATTAACCTAGTATTTGTCTCCTACCTAAAAGGCTATGTGATCAAGATGACATATGTTTATTCATCCTTCAGAAACTGTAGCCATCTTTTGTTAAGGAATTTCTTTCAAATAAATGAAACAAAAACTAGTATTTTATGGGTGCACGGATTATAACTTATATGATATTTTATAATAAAATAAAACCCACAATTCACTATGATTACTGAAATTTAGAACAATAAAAATAAAACTCAAATGTTTCTAACTCCTTCTAATAAGGTTTGCAGGTGAAAAGCCTTTCAAGTAAGTTTATAACAGCATGACTCAACCTCAGTTTTACCTGGTAAATTCAAATTTGTTTTGCTTTGCAAGCTACACACACTGGCCAGTCTTAATTTGTCACTCGACTGCCTTTCTTAGTAGTGATTTATCTTATTGAAGGGGTGGGTCTGAGGTGTCCTTATCTTGGTGTTTCAGTTCAGTAAACCTTTCACACAAGACCAACCCATGCCTGTCACCAGGCATGTGATGTCACCTGCCGTACATTTAAAACCCGCAGAGGAGACGGGACCACCGCGGTTTCCCAGCGCTCCGCTGAGGTCCGCTCCTGTGACCCTGGGGATGGGACAACAACGGCGCCTAGACGACCACCCTTTGCAGCCACCGTACCTTCTACTCTAGATTTACCTGATTCACAGAAACAAGCCAACGACGCATCTCGTAATCTCACTCTCACTCATTACCCTATGCAAGGCAATGCAGTCTCCATACAAAACTGCGTGTAAGAACAGTACAATCACCGATACCTCAGGAAGCCACTGGAACATTCACCACGCTGTCACTCATCCCTGTCCCCTCCCCCTCCCAGCCGGCCAGACTTCCCGGAAGCCGTCAGGTGCCCACCTGGTGGCCCGTCCCCCTCACCTACCAGGTCTTTGGGCTCTTTGGAGACCCCGAGGCCGACCGCCAGCCCGCCTCGCAGCCACAGCGCGACCGGCCCCCGCGGACCACCCGCCCGGCTCTGTTTACAAGCGGCGTCTCGCGGTCCCACGCTTAAAAGCTTCCCTGCGCGCAACCGGGCATCCAAACCCGGGCACACAAGGTTCCCGGCCGTGAGAAAGCTGCTTTCCAGCCAGAGAAGGGGAGGCCAGGTCGGGCCTGAGCCACTGGCTTTGTTTTCTTGGGCACAGTTTGTAGCACGTACCTTGTGAAACAATGGCGTGTGGTGCAAGGTCTCCTCCCTGCTGCTCCCCACGACTCCAAATGGGTGTTTGTAATTGCAAATCGTACCTTGGAATATACCAGTACCAGCTCAGTTTTTAGCGCTCTTGTCTATGAGAATTACTCAGTGAAAGGGGAAAAAATGAGAACCAAGACCTGTCATGTAAAGGTACAAGATCCCAATAATGAATGTAACTGTACTGTATACCTAAAATGTATCAATAAATTCAATGAGGAAAAAAAAAAGAATTACTCAGTGACATGGTCACTCCTAAAGTGGGACCCAGAGAGTGCTCCTCATTGTAAGTTTGCAGTTACAATGTTAACTAAGCTTTCCTGTTGCATCCAACAGAGTGGAAGAGGGTGGCTTTGAGGGAAGGTTGCAGATTCCCAGCAAAACAGAAAGTGATATGTGGCAGCCAGTTTGGGTACAGGGAGGGTGCTCTGCACTGATACCCTCACTTTACATCCCCAGTGACTGTGGCCACTTTGCAACTCCTCGTTTTGTCCCCCATCACAGCATTCTTAGCCATCTCAGTTTGTAAGTACACGTTCACTTATCAGCTGTATTAGCTTCTCCACCACAGTCTCATCTATACATTTCTTCAGGCAAGAACATTTTGATTTCACTCACCATCAGGTGATGGGAACCTATCACAGCGCCCACTGTGTGTGCCTTTGAATGAATGAATGAACGATGAGCAAAGAAAGTGTCAGAGGAGTCAGAGAAAGCAACATCATGGAAACTGCATGATCTGATTGCAAGCCCCACTCAAAGATTATTAAGCAAAACCTTTAACTACTGAGTTTTGGTTGATGTTCAAAATAAACTTAAAAAAGAACTATAATTTGCAGTACAATTTTTTGTTGTTACCCAAACCTTGTAGTGTTCTCTCTTGCCTCAAGACTTTGTACATGTGGTTCCTTCTGATGAGATCTCTCATCCTTACCCCATCGCTGTATTTTGGCTAACTGTGCTGTTTAAGAAGCAGGCAGATAACATCACACCTTTCCTGGAAACCTCTAACTGGTGAGCCTGCTTCTAAAGGAACTCACCTGTTCCTCCGCGAACACACCGCACTGCCTGCGTTCCTCTCTACTCTCATCAGTCTTCTGGTTGGATGAGTGGTTCTCAAAATTTAGCATGTAATAGAATCTTCTGGGGTGGTGTAATGTGTGGGGATCCTGTTAAAATGCAGATTCTGAATCCATAAGTCTGAGATAGAATCTCTCGCCTTTAATGAACTCTCAGGGGATGCCACATTGTGAGTGTCAAAGTTCCTGAATCATGTACCTATACACTTTCATTCCAAAGGTCTACCTACAATGTGGTCCTGGATTCTGTGATGATTTCAAACAAGTTCTGCAAAGTATTTCCAATATAGGTGATCTGTGGACTGCCACCCTCTGATAAAGTCTGAGGTCAGGATCCATGTGTTGTCCTTGATTTTCCACTGTACATTATGCACAAGGTCTGCAAATAAAATGCATCTAAAAAAGCCGTGTTTGCAAGGTGACTGAATTTACTTACTCTCAATAGATTCTCAGTCAGAAAAAGAATGATTAGATTCAGGGCCAAGAATATTCTCAGCTGGGCAGCTGCTGACTAGCAGAACTATTTGTCCACTGGATATTTACTTATTTATTTTTTAAGTTCTGGGAACTTAACCCAGGACCTTTCCACAGCTACAACCCCAGAACAATTTTATTTATTTTGAAAACTGCTTCTTGCTAAGTTGCTAAGTTCCCAGGCTAAGCTCAAACTTGTGATTCTCCTTTCTCAGCCTTCTGCAGTGCTGGAACGAAAAGCACATGTCACCATGACTAGCAGCTGGGAATATTTTGCTTCTCTAAATTTAAAATAACTTGTCTAAGTAACTACTTTGAACATAAAATAAAATTTATTTTAAAAATAAAATGTAAATAAATAATTTAAAGTAGATAAATTAATGTCTATTCAGAAGGCTGTCTGACGATACCAATTACACCATCTTTTTTTAAAAAATAGACTATTTTTAGAACAGTTTTAGGTTCACCTCAAAGTTGAGAAAAAAGTACAGAGTTCTCATATAACCTTTGCCACCATATATGCATAACTCGTCCCACAACCAGCAACCTGCACAGTATTGGTACAAGTGTTACAATCCACGCACCTACATGAGTGTATCATTGTCACCTAAAGTCCATAGTTTACATTAGAGCCACCTATCTTTTGCCACAGCTTTACTCCAAATTTTAAGTGACCTTTATTTATTTATTTGGTTCCAGGGGTTGAACTCGGGTCCTTGTGCTTGCAGGGCATGCAGCAGAACCACTGAGCTAAAGCCCCAGCCCTTAAGTGACCTTTAAATGACCTTTATTGCCAAAATTATTTCTGACTCCATAGGCTAACATTTGAAGCTCCCTACTTTACTGGCATCCTTTATGGATATTCCTTTGTTCTTTACTCAGCACTCTTAATTCTTTCAGAAAACTATCCTTACCTTTAAGTGACAGGGAAACACATCATCAATGGTAATCTCACCCCACTGCTTAAGGCACCCTGGTCTCCATCACAGTGGGTGATCCAAGGGTGGACATATGACCTAGGTGATCAACTCTTTCCCTGGAATTTTCCTATTTGATGATATGGAAATAAAGTATCTTGTCTATGGAGTCACAGGGCTGCAGGGATATGAACTGGAGGCCCCCAATGGTCATCTTTCCTACTACACAGGGAGTGCTTGTCTGCAGAAGGAGGGAAGAAATCAAATGGAGTGGGGTGAGAGAAACACTAAAGGATGAATGGAGATTCTGTGTGAGGGAACTGGGAAGGTAAGGAAAAGAGTGTTAAGAGCTAACATTCTCACTATTATGGCGCAAGTTAACTCCCAGTTTTTTCATAGTTGTATTGGTGTTTGGTTTTTGTTATTTACAACTAAAGTGTCTTGATTGCCTTTCCTGAATTTGTTCTAACACACTCCTTTTTTCCTATTCTATAGTTCAGATATACATTTTTTAAACTCCTCGTTACTCCTCATTTCCTATGATCCTGTTTAGGCCCCCCCTATTTAATTAATTTCAGTATAACTGATAAAGTGTTTCTCTAATTATACTACCTTCTGTCTCTTGAAAGATGGGGACATTATCATACTCATTTTTCACAACATTTGTCATAGTAACTATTAAATGATCTCAATAAATGTTTATTAAATGAAATACCAAATGGCATGTGAAGAAATGTCATCATTACATTCCTTCATTAGACTTTTTTCTTTTAGCTTTTATTTACTAAAATAATGCTTAAACTAGAATTCAATAAAGCAACGCCATCTTCCAGAAAATAAAATAAAAGTCTTATTAAAAGTATTTGAAACATAATCAGAAACATTATGGTGTCATTTATAGCTTAGGTTTGCAAACTAAATATACCCCACCCATCTTCCAAAGTATACCCACATAAAAATGATTAAGGCATTCATTAAGAGCAATATAACATAATTAGTTTGCCTCTATAGGTAAATTAAAACCATTTGAGATGTAAGATATTACAATCACAGAGTCGCTCATTGAAAGTATAAATGATCCTGCTATTTAACTAAAAGGCAACCACAAGGCCATGCATATTGTTAAAAAAAAATTTTTGCGGGGGGGTACTGGGGATCGAACTCGGGTCCTTGTGCTTGCAAGGCAGGCCACCGAACTGCTGAGCTAAATCTCCAGCCCCACAATGTTAAAATATTAAAACATTTCCCTACAGGTTGATAACTAGTTTCATTTCCTAAACTTTCTAGGTGCCCTAAGTTTCTTTCTGAAGAAACTCATACATCCTGAGATCAACATCCAAAGGATTAATATCTTAATCTCTTTGGCTCTAAGACCCTACTATGGCACCACTGCCAGGATTCCTTCTAATTAGTTGATCGCTAGGCCATATGTGACTATCATTCCTACAAATAAGTTGTTATGGCTTGTGTCTAGATATCCTCTCAAAGCCTCATGCAGATGGGACTTTTTTAGAGGTGGCTGTATCTAGAGTATGTGATGCTGGAATTGATTCATGGCACAGTGCTAGGCCCAAGGGCACTAGAATTAAGGGTGTGAATGCTACCCATCCTCGGTAGCCTGGATAAGATATAAGGGATAGAGAGAACTGTGGTTGTCCCCTGTTGCTTTGCTACCTTCTGCCCACCATGAATTGTTTTGCCTCTGCAAGGACACCCTGCCTTAGAACCAGACAATTATGGACTGAAACCTCTACAAACTGTGAGCTAAATCAACCTTTCCTCCCTTAACTTGTGGATAGTGGGTATTTTTGTCTCGGCAATGAGAGAAAAGTAACTAAGACAGAATTTCGTAGCAAGAGTGGCTCAAGAGGCTTTGGAACTGGCTTGTTGTAAGGGGAAGAGTTAGGAAAGGTTTGGAGATGCTGCCTGATAAAGTAGAGTTGGAATGCCTCAGGCTGTACTTGATAGTGAATTCTGGTCAGAGCTCAGAAGACCAAAATGCTGATAGAAAGGCTGCTGGGAAAGATCAGACTCAGAGGTTTCTGCTGGGAAGAAGGACTGCACTGGCTATTAGACTTCAGACAATGTGTGTTGATGTGTGTTATGCCTTGGCAGAAAGTTTGTCTGCAGTTTGTTCATGTCCAGAGATTTTGCCTGAGATTGAGAGTAAGGTCAGCAAATTAATCTGGCAAGAAATTTCAAGGTAGTCAAATATTGAGGTGGTGGCATAGCTACTATTGGTGGCTTTTAGCTAGATTTATGTTAAGAATCAAGAGCAAATAGGCCAGCAGAATGATTTAAAACATTTTGAGTTTGGCCAGAAAGGAAACTCCAGTAAAGTGGTGGGCATTAAAGGTAGAGCAGAGATCTTGTTTGCTGAGAAGGAACAGAATAGAAAAGGTTGTCTGAGAACATCACAAAAACCAACACAACTCCAGCTTCTTTAGCCTCAGATTTGCAAAGGTAAAAGACTTTGCTTTGAGAAGAAAGCCCAAGAGCATCATGTTCCAGTATGGCGGCAGCCTAGGGAAGTT